GGAAGTCAGAGGAGCTGATGATGAAAGCTTCATTAAGGAGAGGGGATTGATTGGGGCCTTGGAAGTAAGAGAGAGTTTGAATGGGCAAAAAGTGTGTGTGTGTGTGTGTGTGTGGCGGTGGCAGGGGAGAGGTTGTTCAGGGGGCAGGGATGGGGAGGCTGTGAAGAAGGGCCCAGAGGCAGGAAGGATGGGAATGTAGGAGGAGGAGGGAAGGAGACAGCTGACCACATGCAGAGCATGGGGGGATGAGAAGCTGTGAAGTCAGGGACAGATTGTGAAGACGTAGTGTGGGTGGCGGCGGGGCAGGCCGTGGGTCTCTGGTCCGTGTCAGACAGGGGACGCATGAGTGATCTGAGCCCAGGCACAGGCCCTCCTCACCTGTTCTTCAGCCTTCCAGGCAAAATGTGGGCACTTACCACATTTTGTGGGGGTAGGGCTCCCCACTTTTATCTGAGTCCTAGACCTACTTCAAGCCTCTCTGGGCTGCCTTCTGTCTTCCCTTCCATTTTCACTCAGCTTTCCAAGAGCCTCTACTCCTTGTCCTGCAGTCCTGCCACACTCCAGCCATTTGCTGTCTTTGTGCTCCTGTTGACACAGCTGAGCACTGCCCCAAAGCCTCCCACGGCCATATGCATTGGAGCCACTGTAACTTCACGTTCTCCAACGGCTCGCTCCATGACTCGTAATCTTTCTGTGCCTCTGTCCTGTTCTCCACACAGGCCATTCCAATTCTTCTCTCAGACTCCAACTGCACCATCCCCCTGCCTGCTACTCTGCAGCCCCTGTCACCATCAGCAATAACCTTGCAAATCCCCCAACTTCCTGCCATCAGACCTAAACCACTCTAAACTTGCAGCTGTATTTTCCTTCTCTCCTGACACATGGATAAATCTGAGCCCTTCTCATTCTCAGGGACCACTCTTCCCTCCCTTGCTTATATCTGTAAGCTTTACTTACCTCTGCACTGGTCTCTTCCCATCAACATTTCAATATGTTCAGGTCTATATTATATTAAAAAACCCTCAAGTTTGCTCTTTTACTTTCCATCTTTCCCCCTTTATTTCCCATTTGTCATCTTCTCTTTCTTTCTCTTTCTTTCCTTCTTTCTTTCTCTTTCTTTCCCTTCCTTCCTTCTTTTCTTTCTCTGCCTTCCTTCTTTTTCCCTCCCTCCCTTCCTTCTTTTTCTTTCTTTCCTTCCTAACTTCTTTTCCCCCCCCCTCCCTCCCTCCCTCCCTCCCTCCCTCCCTCCCTCCCTCCCTCCCTCCCTCCCTCCCTCCCTCCCTCCCTCCCTCCCTCCCTCCCTCCCCCCTTCCTCCCTCCCTCCCTTCCTTCCTTCCTCTCTCTTTCTTTCCTTCTTTCCTTTCCCTTCTTTCTTTCTTTCCCTCTCTCCCTCCCTCCCTTCCTTCCTTTTTCGCTCAATGACATTTCCTGAGTGTTTTCTGCCCTCATTATCTCACTACCTTCCATGCCTACTCCTTAAAACTTGGTCATTAAGTTTCTGCCCCCCTCCTGTCCACTAAGATGGATTTCCTCAAAATCGCTGGGACACGCTGCTGCTAAATCCAGTGGGCATTTCCATTTCCTGTTTGTGTTACCCACCAGTGCACTTGGCACTGTGGACCGTTCCCTTCTTCCGAGTCTCACCTCCTTTGTCTTCTGTCACTCTCCCTGTTTTCTTCCCATCTCTCTGGTCACTCATTTTTCATCTCCTTTAATGCTTTTGCTGAATGTTGTTTGAATGTTCCTGCCCTTTGTTATTCTTCCCTAGGCCCTCTGCTCCTGTCAGCCTTCATACTTTGACCGGGCTCTATCAGTATCTAACCATGGTGACATCTATATAATCAGGACTTTGGGTTGCAAACGACAGCAACCCAATTCACACTGGCTCAAGCAAAACTAAAGAGAAGTGTTTGGCTAGCATAGTAGGCTAGTTTAGAAGCAGAGCTGAGCTTCGCATGTCTGAATCTAAGGACTCAAATGCTGTTGTCAGGCCTCTTTCTCTCTGTATTAGTTTGTTCTCATGCTGCCAATAAAGACATACCCCAGAGTGGGTAATTTATAAAGGAAAAAGGTTTAAAGGACTCACACTTCCACGTGGCTGGGGAGGCCTCCAAATCATGGTGGAAGGTGAATGAAGAGCAAAGTCACGTCTTACATGGTGGCAGGCAAGAGAGCTTGTGCAGAGGAACTCATGTTTATAAAACCATCAGATCTTGTGAGACTTATTCACTACCACGAGAACAGTAAGGGGGAAACTGCCCCATGATCCAATGATCTCTACCTGGCCCTACCCTTGACATGTGGGGATTACTACAATTCAAGGTGACATTCGGGTGGGGACACAGCCAAAACATATCACTCTCCCACCATTCCATCTTCAGCTCTGTCTCTATCATTGTCTTGGCCTTATTCTCTTCTATTGAAGACAGCTGGGGATCCTCAGTGACCAGTGATTAAGACCCGTGGGGCAGATGGAGATGAACAAATGTTGGGGTGTGTATATAACAAGGCATAGTATAATGTCATCACTCTACCGCAAACACAAACCTACTATTTCTGTGCTTTTTGATTTAATGATTGGTAGCACCAAAAACTCAGTAACTTAAGCCAGAGATTCAGAGTTCTCCTTGACTTTTCTCCTTTCTCCCATGTTCGATCCTTTGCCAAATGCAGTCAGTTCTGCCTCCAAAACATCTCTTGACCCTGACCACTTTCTGTCCCCATGACCACACACACTTCTAGGCCTTCTTTTCTACCGTGGCTATTGGAATTGTCTCCAGATGTGCTCTTTACCTTTCGTCTCATTCACCTCCAAAGTGTGCCCCACCCTGTGGGCAGCATGATCTTCCCAAAACACAAGCTAATCAAGTTACACTCTATAGAAGTTCTTCCAAGCCCTTTGTGGTCCTGTGTATAAAGATCCAAACACAAGGCCCCTCATGCTCCAGCCGCCGTGTAATCCCTTCCTCTTGTCTTAAGTGCTACAGTACAGCCAGGATGAACTTCTCGTAGCCTTTGTGCCATGCTGTGCTCTCATTTCGTCTATCCGTTCACTCCTCCGGTGAGTGTCTGCTATGTCCCGTAGTTGCAGGCACCGCGATCCCAACAGAGATACTCTTGCTCTTGAACCTTTGCACATGCTGTACCTCCCACCTGGAATGTCCTCCCCTTGTGTAGACAATGCAAACTGACTGCTCACAGTCTTCTCCCTTGTCTTCCTATTACAGAGATTGGGAAACGAAGACTCAGCTTTCCTTGTAGAGGACAGACAGTTCTGGCCAATGAGATCAAGGCGGAAGTCCATAGAGAGGGCATCCTTTCCTGAATAGAAGTCCTTACTAAGGGCTCTCTGCCTTTCTCTCTCCTTTCCACCAGGAACACGACTGTAAAGCCAATGGGTGCAATGGCTATCCTGCAGCTATGTGGATGAAAGAAGGATAAATGATCAGTGATAAAGGACTCAATGCGAAGGAGAATGAGTGGAAATAAGGGCGTGGTTTTAAGGCTGCTGTGTATAGTCACGTGGGTTGTGTGTTGCACAATTCTAGGAGGATCACCATAATAGACTGTGACATGGTTAAGCTGTGGCCCTGGTCCCGCCTCTGGTCTGGTCTCTGAAAGGAAGAAAGTGAAGGGAATGGCAGCAAGCCCTGAATTCTGTGAATTGTGAATTCTCCCAAATCTCTCTAGAAACCAAATTGTTTCCATAATTCTTTAGGACGAGGCGTTTGAAACTCAAAGGCTGAGAATTGATTTCATCTTCTGCTGTGTCAACCTTTCCCTAAGGCAATGAGTGATGACTCACCTGATTTGGACCAGGAGAGAAATCCAGGCTGGAGGAAAGTATGGGGAGAGGGGTAGAATTCATTGGTTAATATTTCAAAATCTTAGCCTGCAACAAATGTACCCAGAAAGTCCGTGCCAAGCAATATAAATACTCTTAAAAGCAAAGCAATAATTCTGCTTAAATTGGAGTCGGAAATGAGGAAAAGCTGGAGAAAGCTCCCCAAGGAGGGTGATGGTTGGACTGGCTGGACTTTGAAGACCACATTTATTTTGGCAAAACAGGGAAGGCATTCTATACAAAGGTCTGGCATAAGCGAAGTCAGAGAGGCCACGTGTGCATGGTACATTGGCAGAAGTAATCAAGCGTGGCAAAGGAGTGGCCAGGAGGGAGGCTGGTGCAAGGGTGAGAAAGTTCTTGAATGTGCAACTTTCAGGAAGCTGAGGAAAGGATGGAGAAGTCCTGACTGTCCTCTCACGGACATCCCCACCTGGCCTCAGGTGTCCGTACAGCCCCTTCACCCTGCTTGATAAGCAACTGCCCAGTGCCGGCTACTCCGGAGAAGTCATGGGAGCCTACGCTGGCCCTGGGAGAGTGTACACTCCAGGTGACAGGGTTGCCCAGGCTCATGGGCTCACTGTCTCCAGAGGGCTTGGTCCCTGGTGTCTTCTGGGAGCAGCCCTTCTTGCTTAGGTCTTTAGCACACACCTAAGGAGGGAGAGAACTGCCGTCAGCAGACCTGGCTGCAGCAGACCTCTGGCTTCTCCCAGCCATGGCTAGGGAGAAGGAACTTCTTCGCAATGTGTTTTGCGGCTGCTCCTCTGGGCCCACCATACTCTTTCTGCACCATCTTGGCACTCAGCACTGTGTGTGCTCACCCAGATATAAACTGAGCTCTGAGCTGTATTTAGTCTTAGTCACAGTCCCAGTGTGGGACTCCCTCCCCTGCCTACCCCGCCCCTACCCTTGGAAACAAGTGAGTGGGAGCCTTTCTCATCTCTGGGGGGTGGATCAAGACCCCCCTGCCCGGAGCGAGGGGGAAGAATGCTGTGCTTGGGGAAGGATTCTGGGGTGCGCCCTTTCCAAGCCTTCCTGCTTCCTCAATGGATCATGAATCTCAGTCCCCCCTCCTGGGAAGGGCTGCTTCCAGACAGCTGAGAGAGGAGCTGGGTAGATGGGGTCATTATAGCCCTCAAGGGTGCACTCAAGCCAGTGAGGACCACCCACGGAATCAGGGAGCATTCCTGAACCCCATTTACCCTCTATTTGGATAGAAAGTAAAGGTGATGATCATCTTTTGATTCTATTCTCATCTTGCCCAAATCCCCACTTTCTAGAGTCAAGGAGGCCAACCCCTTTATGGGTATAGATTTTCATACAACCTACTTCCGTCAGCTATGAGCTCATACGGCTTAGGCTGGTCCCTGCTTGGTTCCCAGCACCCATTGACCTCCTGATCTCTGGTAGGGATAAGAGCGTGCTTCGTTTTTCTATTGCTGCTGTAATAAATGACCACACGTTCAGCAGCTGAAAATGACATCTGCTTCTTAGCTTACAGTTTTGGCAGGGCAGAAGTCCAATATGGGTCTCCCTGAATCAAAATTGAGGTGTCTGCAGGCTGCATTCCTTGCTGGAGGCTCGAGGAAGAATCCATTTTTTTGCTCATTCAAGTTGTTGGCAGAATCCAGCTCCCTGCAGCTGTAGGACTGAGGATTCTTTGTTAGCTGCCATCTAAGGGTCACATTCAGTTTCTAGAGGTTTCCAGCCTCTCTTCATTGGTGGTCCCCTTCCTTCATCTTCCAAGCCAGCAATAGCGGGTAGAGTCCTCTCACAGTTTACATTTCTTCTGCCTTTTCTTTGGTTGCATCTCTCTGAGTTAAGCAGGGAAAGGCTCATAGCCACCTGGGTGGCCCCAGTCTAATAACCTGAGCCCTTAAAATCTGGGAGCCTTTCTCTGCTGAAACTTTCATACCTGACTTTGTAGGTGTGACTAAGGTCACGCATCTTTGTGTCTCAAGATTGGTAACCTTAATCGCACCTGCAAAGTCCTTTTGCCATGAAACATAACATACCATAGGTTCTGGGGATTGGAGTATAGGCATCTTTGGAGGCCAGTATTTGGCCTGCCATAGAGTGTGATCCAAGAGCTTCATCTCTACACCCTCTTACCCCATCCCTCACAGATTCTGGTCCTAACTTACAGTACCTGTGAGTGTCACCTTATTTGAAAAGAAGGGCCTTTGCAGATGTAATTGACTTAAGGATTCTTTGAAATGAGATCATCCTGGATGAACTGGATGGGCCCCAAATCCAATGACAAGTGTCCTAGTAAGAAAAGGAGAAGGCAAAGACAGTGGAAGCCAGCCTGGGGAAGACCACATGAAGGAGGAGACAGAGGCTGGGGTGACGCAGACACAAGTCACAGATCACTGAGGATTGCCAACAGCAACCAGAGGCTAGAAGAGAAGCAGGAAATGCTTTCCCCCTCAGGCTCCAGACGGCACTGTGCAGAGCATTTTCAGCTCTGCTGACATCTTGATTTTTAGTTTTCTGGCCTCCAGAACTGTGAGAAAATAAATTTCTGTTGTTTTAAGCCACTCAGTTCATGACAAATTGTTATGGCAGCCACAGGTAACTAAAACATACCCTCAGTGCTCAGCCTGGATCCAGCATGGCTCTGTGACCAGCAACTTGCAAGATTAGAATCCCAAGAAGGGCTCTCCCGAGCATGGGATGGCAGGTCTTCCCTTCGGCTGTTCAGCGCAGAGGAAGCCATGGCTACAATAAACAGAAAGGGGTCTCCGTGAACAGGTAACTGGTTGGCTGCCCAAAGCGGACAACGTTTTCAGGATTGAGAAATGGCAGTCTCCTTGATGTTTTAGAAATTTTTTCCCTGGGGGATCTGGCTTCATTTCCTGCTTGGATTTGAAGTCTGCAAGTATGTTTATAAAGTCAAGCATTTCCCTGGTGGCTCCCAGGTTCGTTTCAGCAGGGAGAGGGTAGTGGGGTGTCATTGGCGAGCTTTTCTGCTAAGAACTAAAGCAAAATTTCTCCTGTTCATGAACCTTCTTGCCCAAAGCAAATTTAGGGAGGCTCTCATGATGCATCTTTAAAAAACAACTTCTTAGAAACATAAGATTTGTTTAATCCTTTTAATTAACCAGGCATATAGTTCTTTGGGCAGGTTTGTGGTGGGGAGAATAATGGCTCCCCAAAGACATCTCTATCCTCATCCCTGTCCTAGAGTGTTAGGTCACATGGTAGAGGAGAATTAATGCTGCAGATGGAATTAAATTTGCTAATCAGCTGACCTTAAAACAAGATTATCATGGATTATCCAGGTGGGCTGGATGAAATCTCATGGGTTTTTGTAAGACAGGAAGGGAGGTGATATGAGAAGGACACTTCAACCAGCCATGGTTGGTTTTGAAGATGGCAGGGCGCATGAGCCAAGGATGCAGGCAGTCTCTAGAGGCTGGAAAAGGCAAAAAAAATGGGTTTATACCCAAAGCCTGCAGAAAGAAAAGCAGCCCAGCCAGTGCTTTGACTTTAGCCCAGTGAAGCCCATTTCAGACCTCTGACCTCAGAACTGTAAGATGACACATTCCTGTTGTTTTAAGCCTCTGAGTTTGTGGTAATAAGATAGGAAACTAACGTAGGTGAGAAGCGGGAGATAGAAGCGGGGATTGGTGGTACGAATTCCTTTTGGTGTTTCCAATGAGGGAACAGTTCCTAATGGGGACTGTTGATGAAATGCCGGCCTGAGCTACCATCAGTTGCAGAAGGAGACTGGTGACAACAATCTCCGGAACACAGTTCTACTGCCAAGAAAACTGGTAGGACCCCCTCCCTTCCTTCCCTGAAGTGGGACTGCCTCAGACTTTCTGACTGTAGCAAAACCCCATGGGGTTCCAGGGAATGGCCACATCCTGACTTGTGGCTGTGGAGTACAAGGACGCATGGGAGTCTCCTCTCACTGCCAGGACAGCTGGCTCTGCAGGAGGGCGCGCCTGTGCCAGCCACGCTGACCTAATGAAACCTTCAGCCCCTACATGGTGTCTGGTTCCTCCTGCAAAGGATCTTTGAGGCTTCCCTGTGTCTGCTTCTGTCTCTTCTGGTTCTTGCATGCTCTCCCAGGCCTTGTGAGAGCACCTGTCACAACGGGGCCACGTGCTTGCTTTGGGATGATTTGGAGAAGTAGTTGAACCTGCAGATATTCCAGGCATGCCCTCGTGCGTCACTTTTCCCAATAGCTTTTGTATTCATCTTCTCAAATGTCTCTCGGAGCACCGGCTCCCAGCCTCCTGGCTTGGAATTCATGAGAACGGTGCTGCTGGAATCTGAGCTTGTCAGCGATGGCTCTGCCTGCCTAGCCCCGGCGGCAGAAACAGGAGAAGAGCTTGTGGAGGCTGGGCAGGGCCCGGCAGAGTCAGGATGGCTTTGGGGGTCACTGCAACCGGACTTGCGCCAGCACCTTTCCAGTGCCGTAGGTAACCCAAGGCTCCCTGCAGCCTGTTCCAGAATCTCCCCAGTGATCTGGTTAACTGCGTGGGATCCAAATTCCTGTTCCACCTCTCACCAGCTCTGTGACCTGTGTCAATTGCTTATCTTTTCTGGGCTTCATGTTCCTTCCCTTGTGTGAAATGATCAAATAGTAGGCAGACAATAATCATTAGCTATAATAACAATGATTATTTCTATTATTGCCAATTGGATCCTTCACCTTCCAGAGTCACGAATCTCAAAGTTCTCTCCAGCGATATTTTCCAAACATTCTAGATCCTCCTTTTCATAGTGCCCCATGTCTATCTCCAACAGTTTTATTGAGGTGTAAACACCTAGTGAATTGCATCTTAATATGCACGGTGTGCTATGTTTTGATGTATGTATACACTCTGGAAACCATCACTACAATCAAGATAATGAAAATACCCATCATGCCCCCAAATTCTGTTTTGTAATCTTTTCTTCCCACTTCTCCCTGCCTGGGCTTCTTGCCACCAGTCCTCAGACAACTACTGATTTATTTTCTATCAGTATAGTTTGTATTTTGCAGAATTTTATGTAAATGGAATCACAGAATATGCGCTTTGTTATTGGATATTTTTTTTCCTTTTTTCTTTTGAGAGAGAGTCTTGTTCTGTCTCATAGGCTAAAGGGCAGTGATGCAATCACAGCTCATTGCAGCCTCAGCCTCCTGGGCTCAAACAATCCTCCCACCTCAGCCTCATGAGTAACTGGGATTACAGGCACACACCAGCATGCTTGGCTAATTTCTAAATGTTTTGTAGAGATGAGTTCTCCCTATGTTGCCCAAGCTGGTCTTGAACTCCTGGGCTCAAGCAATCCTCCCACCTCAGCCTCTGAAAGTATTGAGATTACAGGTATGTATCAATGGTTCATTCCTTTTTATTTCTGAGAATTAGTCTACTGCATGGATATATCAGAATTTATGTATGCATTCACCTGTTGATGGACATTTGGGTTGTTTCCAGTTTTTGGCTAGTTTGAATAAAGCTGCTATGGACATTCATGTACAAGTCTTTTTATGAACACATGCTTTCATTTTCTTGGATAAACATATAGGAGTGGTACAGACAGGTTACATGGTAGGTGTAAGTTTAATGTTTTAAGAAACTGCCAGACTGTTTTCCAAAGTGGTTGCATGATTTACATTTCCACCAGCAGTGTATGAGACTTACAATGATGGCTTCACTTCATTGCTGATGCTTGGTACGATCAGTCTGTTTGATTTTAGACATTCCAATGGGATGTAGGGGTTTTAATTTGAATTTCTCTGACGATTAATGATGTTGAGCATGTTTTCTTGTGCTGTCCATATATATCTTCTTTGGTGAGGTGTCTCTTTAAAACCTATCTTAAAAATTGTGTTGTATGTCTTCTTATTACTGAATTTTTAGAGTTCTTTATATATTATGTTTATAAGTCCTTATCAGATAATTTTCTTTGAAAATATTGTCTCTAAATCTGTGGCTTGTCTTTTCACTCTCCAAACAATGTCTATCAATCAAGGAACAGAAGTTCTTAATTTTGATGATGTCCAATTTATCAGTTTTATCTTTTTATGGATTGTACTTTTTGTTGCCTTTAAGAAATCTTTGCCTAAATCAACTTTACAAAGATTTTTCTCCTGGATTTTATTCTAAAAGTTTTATAGTTTTGAGTTTAGATTTAGCTTTATGATCCATTTTGAGTTTGTTCTTTCAGATAGTGTGAGGTGAGGATTGGAGGGGATTTTTTTCCCTATGAATATTTAATAGGC